AAACAGTGTTCTGGGAGGTGCCCACTCTCTCTCAGGTGCTTAGAATTCTGATGCTATGATTGGCTAGTTTGGCCACCCTGCCGGGCTCAAAAGGAGGTCTCCTGGAGGCAGAACTCTCTCTGACTGCTGGCTGAGGAAGACGTGCTGCTGAAAGAGACACGGGCTCCTGAGACACACGTTGCTGGGAAAGAGACGCAAGAGAGGTGCATTGCTGAGTGAGACACTGAGGGACCAGCACTGCTGGGAAAGAAACTGAGAGACTGTTGGCTGAGGGACGGTGGGCTGGGAGAGAGACTGAGCATTCTTTCTGAACTTGAGGTGTAGCCTGGTGCTTCCCTAATAAACCTTGTAATGTGTGAGTTCTGTGTGGCCACTGCAGTGAATTATCGAACCCAGGAGAGAGGTGGTGAGTGCTTTGGGAGGAACGGTTGGTGAAAGGGCTGGAGGGAGGCAGCATGTTTGGCCTTGCAGTAATAGGCCTTGGGTTACTGCTGTCTTCCCTTTATGAGATTAGAGGAGGTCAGAACATGTGGCCTCCTTGCCGTTTTTACAGTTGGTGTCAGTTGGTGTCCGTTTATAGCAGGCTTTTCTCATCTTCTCCTCATCTTCATCTCATCAAGATGAACCCTAGTGCAAGTTACCACATCTAAAGCTTTGGGTCCTGGTACTTTTCTGCTCTGCTTTTTCAGAATCAGTGGCAGGTATGTCCTACTTGTCCCTGACTTGTGGTGTATAGAGATTTGAGCACCAGATAGTCATCAGCAGTCTATCTGGGTTCTTTGTAGGGTAGGAAGCAGATTCCCACTTTGGCTTATTTATTGCAGAGAAGAATCCTTTTTCCTTTTGTCCTTTCTTCCTGAGATGAGAAGTAACTGCTTGGAGGTGCCATGATGGGAACAAGACTTCCTTGGAGCCCAGTGGACTTACACAGGAAATGATGTCTTGTGAGGCTTAAGGCAGGATACCTCCCTTGCCCATCTCTCAGCTATCATGGTGCAGAAAGGGCCACAGTCACAGTCTTTGATAGATCCATTGTCATTTGTCAGGGGTCCCTCTCTAAATATCTTGGAACAGATTCAGAATCACCAGATCCAGCCATTTCCTGAGCAGTCAGTACAGACCAGGCCCCTACCTTCTTTTTGATGAGAGTCTTTCTGCTTACTGCTTTTTGAAGAGAGCTTTTCATGCTTACTGCTCCAGGTGACAACTTATGAAGAAGTGGGTACAGGAGAGGTCAGGACCCTGTTGGTCACACCTACTTTACCAACTCCTCAGTTGGGAGAGGCACTCTACTCTGAGCAGGGCTAGTCATAGCAGGAGGTTTTTTTTTTTAAAGTTTTTATTGTGATTTGGGTGAAAGTTTAGAGCAAATTCATTTTCCATACAGCACTTCACATGTACTTTGTCTCATAACATTGACTGCAATTTCCCACAATGCAAAAGCTTTTTTCCCACTTCCTCCCTATAGTTACCTCTTCCCTGGGTCCTTCCCTCCCATGCACTCCTGCCCCCCTGTGCTGTCTCCCTGTGTATATACAGCTCTTCTATTCTCCCATGATTGATCCCTCCAAGGAGTGTGTCTACCTAATGTAAATGTTCCACTCATCTGCATGTCTTTTGTTTGTTTGGAAGCCACAGGAGTGAGTTCAATTTCAGACTTGAAGGGCAGCTAGGGGCCATAGTCTCAGTGGTTCCATCAGGCTCTATCAGACCAGCAAACCTGGTGCCCCCTCCCCCCCTTTTTTAAATGATTTTGAGTTTTGTTCCACATTGTTTTCCAACTCTATCCAGGTTCTCCTACATAGGTCCCTCTCTGAGTGGTTGATAGTGGTAGCTGGGCACCATCTAGTTCTTCTGGTCTCAATCATATAGGCTGAGGATAGTATGGTATACCAGTCCCTTGGACTAATTATTTCCATGTATCCTTGGTTTTCTTCATTCTTCTTTGCTCTGGATGAGGAAAGACCCATTGTTGCATCTAGATGGCTGCTTGCAAGCTTTTAAGATCCCAGTTGTTACTCGCCAACTAGGTTGTGGAACAATGTTTTGTGTAGTATGTTATGCCAATTGAGCTTGATTTCCCCCACAAGCATGGTCCTGCGTCCATAGGTCCAACTAATCGCTCCGTCTGGGTAGGTAGCTATGGCCAAGAAGTGACTACAACCTTGTCCCTTTTCAGTTTTACTATATACTTGGACATTCTTACAGGACATACAAATACACTTGTAGAAATGTTGTGTCACAGCAGCAGTTTTACAGGGTGACTTGTGTCTACTTTTTCAGCTTCAGTGTGGGAGCTGCCATAGGGGAGAGCTGGTGTGACCTGGGGGTTCTGAGGGGTTGCAGGAGGAGAGATAGGGAGGAAGGAGCAGCTCCAGAACCATACTAGCCTGTCAGTGAACAGTTTGGCACCATCTCATCTCTGGAGCTAGAAACTATAGATTCAAGTTGGACTCTTTCTACTCCTTACCCACCACATCCAAGTCCTATTAAGTCTAACATCAACATGTCCCTCAGATCAGCCCCTTCTCCATTCCCCCAGCTTCTGCCTAGTTTAAGCCCTTGACATCTTTTGCCTGGGTGACAGCCTCCTCAGTGGCTGACACTAGTCTCTCATTTTCCCAGTCCAGCTATGCCATCCTGCCAGAGTGCTTGTCCCAAGAAAGGCTAGCCTGTGTCACTTTCCTTCCCCAAAACCCTCAGTGAAACCCTTTTGGTGCAGGGCACGGTTGAAGTTCTTTTTTTTTTTTTCTATTTTTATTGTGATTTTGGTGAAAGTTTACAGTGCAAATTAATTTTCCATACAGCAGTTCACATTTTGTTACATGACATTGACTGCTGTTCCCCACAGTGTTAACAGTTCACTTTTTCCCTGTAGTTACCTCTTCCTTGTGTCCTTCCCTCTCATGCACTCCTAACTCCCTCTCCCCGCTCCAAGCTGTCTCCCTGTGCAAACACTGTCCTTCTGTTCTCCCACAATTGTTTGTTCCAAGGAGTGTATCTACCTGAAGTAAATGTTCACCCCATATGCCTGTATTTTGCTGGAAGCCACAGGAGTGAGTTCAGTTCCAGACCTTAAGGGTAACTAGGGGCCATAGTCTCAGGGGTCTCACCAGCACAGTGGAGGTTCTGTAGCATGCTCTTTAAGGCTCTCCATGATCAGACCCTGACCTGTCTTTCCACCCTAGCCCCTGCCATGTGCACTGTTATCTGACATTCCAGTCTGCACATGATGCCCCCTCTGTCTAGAATACCTTTCTATGCTGTCAAAATTCTTACCGGTCTTCAGTCCCCAGCTTCTTGACAAAGGCTTCCTTTATCCTTTCAGTGGGAATTCATTACTTCTATTTAGTGGCAGAAGCCCTGGTGGCACAGTGGTTAAAGCACTTGGCTGCTTAATTGAAAGGTTGGTGGTTTGAACTCACCAGCCACTCTGTAGGAGAAAGATGTGGCAGTCTGCTTCCATAAAAATTTATAGCCTTGGAAACCCTTTAGAAGCACTTCTACTCTGTCCTTTAGGTTCCCTATGAGTCAGAATTGACTTTATGGCAATGGCTTTGGTTGAGGCAGTATGACTGTGCTTTGGGGTATATTGATCTATGGGTGTGTGTGTGCTACAGCTTATTTTGGTGTCACTATGGCTTTGTAGCTGGGGGTTCTTTATCCTTTTTGAGGTGGGAATATGAAGTCAAATCTTGAGAAAGTCAGGCTTCCAGATATTTTGTGGTTCACTGTATGTTCAGTAAGTCTGTGGGAGGTGCCACTCAGAGAATTTTGCCAGGCCCAAGCCTGTAATACCTGAGTTCAGAACTGCTGGTTCCACCCTCCAACATCCTTGGCTCCCAGTGAATCTCAGGCGAAACTGGTGCATTAAGGGCATTGGTGTGGCATCTGATTTCCTCAAACTTCACAAGGGGGAAGAAGAATCAAAGTTAACAGCCCAAGGCTGAGTCCTGTGAAGTGGAGGTCAGACATGCCACCACCCTCAAACTTTCTTACCAATTCTGATACCAACTGTCCCTCCCATGGCTCTCTCTGCTTCTCTCCTGGGTTCTGTAGTTCATTGCAGTGGCCACATGGAACTCATAGACAATATTCGTGATTGTGGGGTTTATCAGGGAAGTAACAGGTTACGATTCAGGTTCAGGAATGCTCAGGATACAATTCTTCAATCAGGATAGTCTCCCATTGGGCATGCCTGTAGGCATTCCTATCTTTGGCCCTTGGCCTGGCCTCTGCCCTGCTTGGGCAAGTGTTAAAAACTCGTTTGCCTCTGTTGATAGGTGCCCAGGGAGGCACCCCACTCTACCAGGAAGTCTCTGCTCAGAGGCACTCAGCTTTCTTGCTCCATGGGCTGGGAAGCTCACTTCTCTGTCTTATGCTGTTCTCTGCTGCCAGAAACTGCTGCTGGGGTCTGCTGCTTCTTTCCATCTCTTGCTGTCTCAGCGAAGTGTTGCAGCTCGCTCTCTGCCTCCTGGGTCAAGGAGGTTCAGCATAGGGATCTTGGGTTCAAAGGATGCGATCTGTTCTTGGCTCTTCTTTCTTGATGGTAGTGAGCTCCCCCTTTCTGCCTCTGAGATGACTCATTTTAAGCCTAGTGAATGGCAAAACTGAGTAATCCTTACATTAGGGTTCCATACATCTTATTTGCACAGTCCCACCCCCACAAGGATGCCAGGTACCTTATTTACATTATTAGCAAACTATTCAATACTCTTGGTGGGCCACAAACACTTCACATTTGCATAGTACCACTCAATAATCTGGTGGGAGTCAAAGACCATGGCTAGAAGAACCATAGTAAGTAATTCCCTGCACCACAACTGGCTTGCAGAATCTGACCTGACTCAGGTGTTCTATGAGCCAGATCCACCTGTTCCCTTTTTAAGCTGGGCCACTAATTTTCCCTTTGGGTGTGGGTCTCTGATATCTAGGTATTCAAGCCCAGACCAAACATGGCAGGACGACCTCTCCGCATTGGAGACCAGCTGGTTCTGGAAGAAGATTATGATGAGACCTACATTCCCAGTGAGCAAGGTAAGAGACCTGTGGTGTATTGTAATGTGGCCAGTCCCTGGGTTATGAAAAAGATCCATTCCTAAGTATGTCTTTAAGTTGAATTTATAGGTAAGTCAGAACAATTCTTATTTAGCCTTACTTTAGTGCAAGAAAGAAGCTCTGGTGGCATAACAGTTAAAGCATTGGGGTGCTAACCAAAAGGTTGGTGGTTTGAACCCAGCAGCCTCTCCATGGAAGAAAGATGAGGCTGCTGCCATAGAGATTTACAGCCATGGACACGCTATGAGACAGTTCTACTTTGTCCTAAAGGGTTGCTCTGAGTTGGAATCCACTTGATGGCAGTGAGTGGATTAGTGCAAGAAAAGCTCACAGCCTTTTCAATAATTTAAAATCTGCACATGCACCAAATAAAGTTGATTGTGATAAAGAATTTGTGGCAAGTAGAGAGTAGGGTTCATTTCAAAGAGGGGTAATATACATAACATTGAAGGGTAAGTATGAATTGTCTTTGTATGTTTGTTATTAGTAATCAAGGGACTGCCTGTAGTTCTTTGAGGGCAGGGATGATATGATTTATTTTTATACTTCCTGGGCCATTTATGATACATGCAGATCAGGGGTTGGCAAACTATAGCCCATGGGTCTAATCTGACCTGCTACCTGTTTTTGAAAGTAAAATTTTATCAGAAAATAGCCATGCTTATATGTTTCTGAATTATCTGTGGTTGCTTTTGTGTTACAGTGGCATGCATCATCGAGTAGTTGTGACAGTGACCATATGACTCACAAAGCCTAAAATATTTACTGCATGGCCCTTATAGAAAAAGTTTGTTCGTTTCTGTATTAGATCAGTGATTTATTTTGAATGAAAATACAGTAATATATCATGAAATAGAGTGTATCCTGAGGCTGATTGGAAGCCCAATTTCTTAAGAACAAACTAAAGCATATTTTTAAAACAATAGCATTACTAAAGACTAATGGTAACATAATTTATTGAGTGCTACTGTGTCAGGGGGAGCTCTGGTAGCATATTGGCTAAGGCACTTGACTGCTAACCAGAAGGCTGGCAGTTCAAATCCACCATCCACTCCTTGGAATGAAGGTTGGGCAATCTACTTCCATAGTGATACTGCCTCGGAAACCCAAGGAGGGGTCGCTATGAGTCGAGTCCGACTTGACGGCACATAACAACAACAATAACTGTGTCAGGAGGGAGCTCTGGTAGCATAGTGCCTAAGGCACTTGACTGCTAACCAGAAGGCTGGCGGTTCAAATCCACCAGCCACTCCCTGGAAGGAAAGTTGGGCTGTCTACTTCCGTAGTGATACCACCTCGGAAACCCAAGGAGGGGTCGCTATGAGTCAGGTCTGACTCCACGGCATATAACAACAACATTACACTGTGTCAGGTACTGTTAAGAAGTTTACAGATATGCAAAAAGAACTTGGGGGCCACATCTTCTGACCTCTTCTAACTTCACAAGAAGAAGACAGAGTCACAAGGCTTGTTCCTATGAGGCTAAACATGCTGCCACCCTCCAGCCTTTTACCAGTTCTGACACCAACCATCCCTTGCATGACACTCATTCATTATCTGCTGGGTTTGGTAATTCCTTGCAGTGGCCACACAGAACTCACGGACAATACTCACAGTTATGGGTTTATTAGGGAAGTAACAGGCTACAATTCAGGTTCAGGAACCTGGTTCAGGTTACAATTCTTTGATCAGGACTGTCTCCCCTGTGCTGTGCCCTCAGGCACACCTCTCTGGCCCTTGGCCTCTCGGCCTGGCGTCTGCTCTGATTGGACAAGTGTTGAAAAGCTCTTTAAGTTCTGCTGGTAGGTACACCTGGGTGCACCCCACTTCATCAGCAAGCCCCCTGCCCAAGGGCACTCAGCTTGCTTGCTCTGTGGGCCAGGTAGGCCTGCTGCTCTCTCTCGTGCTTCTTGGTTCCATTGCAACCATCTTGCTGCCGGGGCATCTCTCTCTGCTGGGCCTCTCTGCCAGGGAGGTCCAATCCAGGGTTCTTGGGTCCAAGGGTGCACTCCACTTCACCTCCAGCTCTTCTCTGTTGATGGTGGTGAGATTCCCCCTCTGCCTCTTTAAGCCTGGCAGAGTGACAAAACTAACCTATCCTGACATCAGAGTTCTATACACTTCATTTGCATGGTCCCACCCAGTAAACTGGTGGGAGTTTCAAAGTCTATGGCTATAAAATCCATACCAAGTAATCCATACCATGTAACTACACTGTAGTGTATTAACTTAACTTTTCAACCCTGATAGCAACTCTATTACAGGTATGTGTCGTTAACATCTGTTATATGTTCTGTAAAATAGGACATTATGTGATTTGGTCATTGTGCAAACACTTATGCCTATGGGCCGTGGGGCTCCCAGGTGCAGTGGCTCTGGGGCTGGTGTGTGGTGTGATGCCTGGGCAGGTCCCACTGTAGACACCTCAGGTGAACACTCAGCTAAGTCCTACCCAGCTGTTCCCTGCCTTTTCTGCTAAGCCAGCTGCAGAGCCAGCTCACCCATGAGAATTTGCCTGGGGAAGGGACAGTGCAGGCCAAGGGAGCCAAGACACCCAAGCCAGGGCAAGGGTGCCTGGAGTGCAGACCTTTCCATCAGCACCCTATGGGAACCACACTGGGCAAAAGGCTGAGCTGCAGAAGCTGAGTGGGACTGGGGTTGGGAATTTGGGCCTGGGCCTCCATCAGCACAGATTAGTTAGCTTCTGGGCTATGCACAGCAGCCAGGCAGAAGTAGGGCTCTGACCCAAGATGAGGCTCTGGCATCTAGACACTCAGATACCTAGTGCCCTGGCCCATGGACATATATGCAGTTGAATATTGCCCAAATGGATGTTAAATGACGTATACTTATAGTTAGGTAGTATTATTATCCACATTTTACAGATGAGGAAACCAAGGTGTAGAAAGGTTAAGTAACTTTCTCACACTTGCACAGGTCTGCTATGTGGTGGAGCTAGGACCTAAACCCAGGTATTCTAACTCCAGAGGCTACACTTTTGATTAATCACTATGCTATTTTTTTGGGTGAAGATTCCTTTGACAATCTGATGAGTTATAGACTTAAGCACACAAATTGAGCTCACAATTTCAAGTGGTTTGTAGACCTGTTAAACCAAAAACCAAATGCTCCGCCATCGAGTTGGATCCGACTCATAGCGACCCCTCCTTGGGTTTCTGAGGTGGTATCACTACAGAAGTAGATAGACCTGTTAGGAGGGTAAAAATTCCTGCATCCTTGGGAGTAATGGATCCCAAGTTAAACCCTGGACTTTGCTTATAGTGTAGGGTTTTATCTGTTTATTTATTTATATATTTTGCCATAATGCTTTTATTTTTATTTAAATATATCACTCCATTCTTTTATGGCCTCTGAATTTTGTCATACTTAGAAAAGCCTTCCCTATTACAAAGATTAAATACTTCTCTCATTCCAGAGATAAAATACTTCTCTTGTGTATTCTTCTAGTTTTTCACGTTAACTCTTTGATCTGTATGGAATTTCTCTCCTAATGCATGTTGTGGTGTATGGATCTAATTTTCTTTACTTCCAACTGTTTATTAATTTTTTCTGTGCCATTAATGGGATATTACATCTTTTCTCCACTGATTTGGAGGTGACCTGTCTATATTCAGATGTACTTTCTCTACTTGTCCATTGAACTATCTATTTGTATACTAGTGCTAGGTTCTTAATTACTTTATGATTAATTTTAATTTCTAGTAGGGCTAATACACCTTCATTGCTCTTCTGTTTTCAAAGTTTTATTGGCTATCTTGTTTGTTTTATGTTTTCATGAACTTTAGAATCACCTTGTCCAGTCTGGGAGGATTGATTATGAAATTTGATATTTTAGGAGCTCAAGTTGATTCCAACTCAATAGCTACCCTGTAGGACAGAAGAGAACTTCCCCACAGGGTTTCCAAGGCTGTAAATCTTTACAGAAGCAGATTGCCACCTGTTTCTCCATGGAGCACCTGGTAGGTTTGAATTACCCATCTTTTGGTTAGCAGTTGAGTACTTTAGCCACTGTGCCACCAGAGCTCCTACTTAAGACATTCTACACAATACTGTCTTTATTAATATTATTTGGTGGCACAGTGCATAAGACGTTTGGCTGCTAACCAGAGGTAGGTGGTTCAAATACACCAGCTGCTCTGCAGGAAGAAGATGAAACAATCTACTTGTGTAAAGATTTACAGCCTTGGAAACCCAATGTGGTCGCTATGAGTTGGATTCTACTTGAAGGCAGTAGATTTTTTTTTTTTTTTTTTTCTTTTGGGTGATATTTTAGGAGCTCTGGTGGTATAGCGGCTAAGGCATTTTTGGCTTAGCCAAAAGGTCAGTGGTTAGAACCTACCAGTTGCTCCATGGGAGAAAATGAAACAGTCTGCTTCCATATTTACAGCCTTGGAAACTCTATATGGCAGTTCTACTTTGTCTTTTCCGGTCTCTGTGAGTTGGAATTGACTCCACGGCAGTGGGTTTGGTTGGTATTTTGGGGGAATTGTGTTAAATTTATGAAAACCTAAGGAAGGTTGATACCTTGTATCAAGTTATAACTTTCCACTCAAGAACATTGTATTCCTTTCCATTTGTGTTTTTTGGTTTTTTTTGCATGTGTGTCATTCAGAAGTGATTTAAAGTTTTCTTCATGTAAGTCTCATACATTTCTTGCTTAGCTTGTTTCTTAAATATTTTATCTTTTATTGGTTGTTATTGTAAATGGAGTCTAATGTTTTTCAAAGGCTGTTTATAAAAACTGTCTTCTGCTCAATCCAGTTTTAGCCTTTTGAGCTCAAGCTACCACTTTCTCTTCTTGGACTATCTCAGTAGCTTCCTAATTAGCCTCCATGCTTACACTCTTCCCCTTCTTTAGTCTTGGCTCCATAGAGTAACCAGAGTTACCTTCCTCCAGTATAAATCAGATCATATCAGGGCTCTGCTTTTAGTAACTTTACATTACACTAAGTATTACCCCCTTACTGTGGTATGCAGGGCTCTTCATGACTCACCGTCCACCTGGCCACATTCACCTGGTGCCACTCCTTCCTTTGCTCACTCTGCTAGTCACCTTGCCCTTCCTTGACAATCCACAGATGGATCAAGCTGTTTTTTGCTACAGTCCTTTACATATGTTCTTTCTTCTACTTGAGTGCTATTTCCTTAGTGCTTGGCATGGCTCCTTGCCTCCTTCAGTTTTTAGCTAAATGTCACTATTCCAGAGAGGCTTTCCTTGACCGTTCTTTCTGCAGGAGCACCCCCTCTACCTTAATGTTTCCTATCTCATGCCTTCTTGTCTTAGTTATCTTGTGCTGCTGTAACAAATACCACAAGTAGGTGGCTTTGACAAACAGGAATTTATTTTCACATAGTTTAGGCAATAAGTCCTAATTCAGGGTGCCAGCTGTAGGGGAAGGCTTTCTCACTCTGTCGGCTGTAGAGGAAGGTCCTTGTTTCTTTGAACTTCTGCTCTTGGGTGATCTTCATGTGACTTGACATCTCTCTCCCAAAATCTCTGCTTGCTCACTTGCTCATTTAATCTCTTTTATATCTCAAAGGAGATTGACTAAAGACACCAAACCTAAATCCTACTGCTGTCAAGTTGATTTCAACTCAGTTGCTACCCTGTGGGACAGAATAGAACTTCCACACAGGGTTTCCAAGGCTGTAAATCTTTACGGAAGCAGATTGCCACTTGTTTCTCCATGGAGCAGCTGGTGGGTTTGAATCGCCCATCTTTTGGTTAACAGCTGAGCACTTTAACCACTGTGCCACCAGGGCTCCTACTTAAGACACATCCTACACTAATATTGTCTGATTAATATAACAAAACTCATTTTCAAATGGGGTTATAGTGACAGGTATAGGAGTTAGGATTTACAACACATTTTTGAGGGACACAATTCAATTCATAACACTCATTTTTGTCTTTCATTACAATTATTAGAAGCTTTGTTTCTTATATATTTATTCGTGTATTTCTTTACTGGTGGTTTCTTCTATTAGAATGTAATCTCCATAAGGGGAGTGACCATGGTTATCCAAAGTGCCTGGCATATAGGAGGCACGCAAAAAAAAAATTGTGAAATCAGTGACTCAATCCTGAGCCAGCCATGGTCCTTTGAAAAAAAAATACTTTTTCTTTCCTAGTCCCCAGGTGTGTCAACCTCCAAATGATCCACTGAGATGATTTATAATGGTGATACCTTCCTGACCTGGGCTGTTATAAACTTAAGCATTGCTGCCCCTTGAGTATTTATTTCCTTATTCCTGGTGCCTCCGGTAACATATTCCAGTGGTCATTTGAACATTTTCCTTCTGGATAAGAGAGCTCTTAGCTCAGTATACCTATCTCCCCGTTCTTCTAGATCTCTGACCAAAACGAAAAAAAAAGTTTTCCTAAATGCTTGATTCCAAAACAGTATACAGCAAAAACATTAAAGTCCATGATATACGGCATAACTGAGAAACAACTCCCTTCATGGGAGAGATGTTCAGTGTGGGAGAAGAGGCTGTTTGAGTATCATCCCACTCTCTTACCTCAGCCATCCCTTAGCCTGTTGCCACAATAAGCTACTGCCTTCTCTCTTCTCTCATAGCTCATAGTACACATCTCTGTTATAGCACCTGGTTTGTGCTCTGTGTGTTTGTATGGTTCTCCAGGGGTAGTCATCTGTAGTTGTTTAAGACATGCTTGCTGAATGAGTGACTGGTGCTTTTGTAAGTCTTGGGATAGCTTATATCCTTTTAATAAGTCTGTCCTCATCCTAATGGTTCTGGCTATGGCTGTTGGAGTTTTTCCTGAGGCCCCTACCACACTGAAGTCTTAGTCTTATTTTTTTTGTCTTTGTTATATTAAGCTTCAGATTATATGCCCAGAGCATGGAGATAGCATGCCTTGATTCAGGTGTATCATTTATAAACTGATTTAAGAAAAAAAGTTGTATATGTTTATTATTTATATTAAGAGAAATAATACTTGCTCACTGAAGAAAATTTAGAAAGTAAAAGCAAAGTAGAAAAAAAGTTTGTCATTTTTATTGTTTTAAAACCACCCCCTCCCATCTCTCTTACCTTACCCACCCTCCTGCCTCTCCTTGCAGAAATTCTTGAATTTGCCAGAGAGATTGGTATCGATCCCATCAAGGAACCAGAATTGATGTGGTTGGCACGAGAGGGCATTGTGGCCCCACTGCCCATGGAGTGGAAACCATGGTAAGTCAACATCAGGTACGGCTGGCCCACTGACTTGGCTGGTCAGAGGCCATTGGAGCCTGACACTGGACATCAGCTTTATCTGGCCACTTTCTCCAAACTTGTACTGTACAAAGTCAGGGACAGCCATGTGCCAGTTCTCTGCTAGGTTGCCTAAGGTTTTGGGCCTGAGCATGGGCTGATTTGATGGTCCCTTCAGAGTCCCTGGATAGTGAAAATGGTTAATGCCTTGGCTGCTAACTGAAAGATTAGAGGTTCAAGTCCACATAGAGGTGCCTTGGTGATCTACTTCCAAAAAAATCAGCCATGAAAACACTGTGGAGCACAGTTCTACTATGACACAATGGGGTCACCATGTGTTGGCATTGACTCAATGGCAACTGGTTTGTTTTTTGATTATAATGGAGTTTACTACTATATCTAGAGTTAAAGGAGCTGCAGCCCTCAGTCAGATCCTCTAGCACCAGCATCTGCGCTCAAAGGACATGGAGGTGACATCTTCTGACCTCCTCTAACTTCACAGGAGGAAGACAGAATCACCATCAACAGCCCAAGGTTTATTACTATGAGGCCAGACATGCTGTTGCCCTGCGGTCTTTTTAGCAACTCTGACATAGTAAAGCCACAAGTGGGTGGTTTTAAAGAACAAAAATTTATTTTCTCACAGTTTTGAAGGCTAAAAGTCCAAATCAGGATCTCGGCAATGTCAATTCCTTCCTTTGTAGCCCAGGCATTCCTTGACTGCTTGGATTGTAGACCATCCTTACGTGGCATCTGTCTTCTCCAGTATATGCTTGCTTCTGTGTCTAATGTGCTCTTTCTATGATTCAGAAGTGATTAGGTTTGGACGCAACCAACAGTGATTATGGCCCCATTAACATAACAAAGAAAACTCTAATTCCCAAACAGCTGTCAACTCCATAGGTCAACTCTGTAGGTGTGTGGCTAGGATTCAACATATATTTTGGGAGGGGTTGGGGGAGGGCACAATTAAGTCCATAAGTTCATAGATTGATATTTGTGAATTTGTTCATATTTTCTATTTTGGTTAGTTAGAGGTCTTTGGATTGCAAGGAACAGAGACTCACTCAGATTCTCTCAGGGAAAGAGAGGTTTATGGTGAGGAAACTCAGACTGTCCAAGGTGGTAATGATGAAAAGGAGCTGTGCTTGCTGCTCCTGTCTCCTTCCTTCTCCTGAAGACTGCCTTGCATCCCAGTCATGGTGATAGTATTTTTTCTGTTCATTGTGTCTGTCTGCTCTCTAACTGCCCCCTCTCTAACTTCCCACTTCCGTTTAATGTGTGCATAGCTCTCTCCAAGTTGTCTCCCTGAAGTGAGTGATATTAAGTTTATTTCCTGCCTGAAAGTGGAATTTCCCTGTGTTTGTTCCAAACTTGTCTCCAGATGTCTTAGGAGTCCCCTCTTATGCTGGTATTGTGCAGTTTTGTGTACAAGGTGTAATTATCTTACCTGTACCATTTATTACTTTGGCCATAATTCACAATGACACAGCCTTACTCTTCTCAGCTGAAGAATCCTAATCCTTTTAGCTTTTCCTCACATGGCAGCCTCCCTGTTCTCTTGATCTTTTTAGCTGCCGTTCCTTGGACCTTCTCCAGTTTCCTGACATCTTTATTGGAGTAAATCTGTTAGCACTGCACATGGAATTCCAGATGCTGAGCACTCATGGTTGTGTTTGTAGGATGGTGGTTTGTGCTTTGTTTACAGTACCCATCCTGATGGAAGGACGGAACTGTCATTGGTTATAGGCCATCTTTGTGCCACTCCATAGGAGAAAGATGAGGTAGTTTGCTTCCGTAAAGATTTTACAGCCTTGGAAACCCTATGAGGCAGTTAGTTACCTGCTAGTGGTAACTAACACTTTCTCATCCTATAAGAAGCGTGTAGGCTGGTGGTTCAAACCCACTAGCCACTCCTGGGAAGGAAGGTTGGGCAATCTACTTCCATAGTGATACTGCCTTGGAAACCCAAGGAGGGGTCGCTATGGGTAGGAACTGACTCAATGGCAGTGAGCTATTTTTTTGATAAGGAGAGTGTGGACCATTTTTCACTCTTTAAAGTAAAAAAAAGTCATTAAAACTTATGTATACTGCTATCTTTTACCTTTACTTTCCCAAGAGTAATTATTGTTATTTGATGAATTTCTTTAATTTTCTGGAAGAGTTTGTGTAGGATTGGTATTATTTCTTCCTTAAATGTTTGATAGAATTTACCAGTGAAACCATTGGGGCCTGGAGTTTTCTTCGTGGGAAAGTTTTTAATGACAAATCCAATTTCTTTAATAGATACAAAATTATTGAGGATCATCTTGAATGACCTTTGGTAGTTTATGTCTTCTAAGAAATTTTATCTAAGTTGTTGAATTTGCTACCAGAAGATTAAGATTGTTGAAAATACTGCCTTGTCCTTTCAATATCTATGGTTATATAACCTCTCTTATTCTTAGCAGTAGTGATTTTTATTTTCTTTCTTATTTTTCTGATGACTATGGCTAGAGATTTGTAAGATCTATTAATTTTCTCAAGGTAGCAAGTTTTGCTATCATTGCCTTTTTATTCATTGACTTTCTACTCAAATCTTTATTATTTCCTCTCTTCTGTTTAATTTGTTTTTCATTTTCTAGTTTCTTAAGGGTTCACTGTTTTAATTACCATAGCTATATAATAACAGTTAATATTAGTAAGACAAATACTTCCTGTATATTCTTTAAATTTATCTTGGCAGTTCTTGGTCCCTTGTTCTGTACGAACTTTAGTTTCTCAAAGTCCATCAAAAGCTCTTGGGATTGCGTGTGTATTTTATAGATTAATCTGGGGAGAATTGGTGTCTTTGTAATATGGAGCCTTTTTATCCATGAACTTTTTCAGGCCTAAATCACATCCTTCAAAAATTTTTCACTATATTCTTTTTAAAATATAGCACATCCTTTATTAGATTTATTCTAGAGGACCATGTACTTTTTTGTTGCCATTGCAAATGGGGTATTTTGAAATTATTGTGGCATTTTTAATTGACTGTTACTGGTGAATAGGAGTATTATTTCTTTTTATTACTGGCTTTTATTATTAATTTTATATATCTAGCTGCCATGTTGAATAAACCATTATTTTTGTGGTATGTAAATCTCTTAGAGGAGCTCTGGTAGTGTAGTGCCTAAAGCATTTGACTGCTAACCAGAAGGCTACTGGTTCAAACCCACCAGCCACTCCTCGGAAGGAAGATTGGGTAATCAACCTCTGTAGTGATACCGCCTTGGAAACCCAAGGAGAGGTCTCTGTGAGTTGGATCCGCCTTGACGGCAGTGAATTTTTTTAAATCTCTTAGATTTTCTATGCAGAAAAGTCATGTAATCTGCAAATAAGGTTGATTCGGTCTTCTTATTTCTTCTTGTTTCAACTTTGGTAACCTATTTTTCTAGAAAATTGTCCAATTGGCCTTTCAAGTTTACCATCATCAAATCATAATTTTATTTTATAGGTTTAGCATCTCTACCATATCTGTAGTTATGCCCCCTTTGTTTATAATGTCTTTTCTTTGTTGATCAATCTTGCAGAAGCTTGCTTATTATATTAATTTTCTCAAAAAATGCCAGATTTTTTGGTTGAGCTATAATATTATTCTTCATTTTCTCTTTCATTAACTCTGCTGCTGTCATTTCTTTTTTCTACTTTTTTTGGGGGGTTTATTTTACTAAATATTTGATTTGAAAGTATAACTCATTTTTTTTTTATTTCTCTTATTTTCTAATATTGGCTATAATTTTTTTTTCTAAGTACCACATTATAGATGTATTCTACAAATTTTGCTATATTGTATCTTTAGTTTCAATCATATAAAAATATTTTATAATTTTTATTATGGCTTTTTTCTTGCTTCGTGAATTATTTAGAGTCATGTTTTTAAATTTTCAAATATATTTCCAAAATAATAGTTGAAAGGGGATGAGGTTTGCATATCTTTTCATTACTGATTTCCAATTTTATTTATTCATTATATCTCCTCTTTGTTACTTGCTGGATCTTCTTTTGCAACTAAGTATGTGATTCTGTTTATGTGAATTTTTTTATGTGGCTTGGTAAGACTGTGTAGTCTTTTTTTTTTTTTTTCTTTTTTCAGAGTTTAGGACTTTAAAAATTTGTCCCAAGTCGCTGAAGCAAGAATCATAATAAAACTTTGTTTTCCTTTACATCTCCCAATCCAAAAAACTGTATGTAGGGAAAAACTGGTTTTGTACATGGGATGAAACTTAATATAAATTCAAAACTTACAGATAAGGATTAGTTCTATAAAAAGTTTATACCTCTTTAAAAAGTTTATATATATGAATATCCAGTAAAAACCAACAGGGCATCTCCCTGTTGAGATGCTATCTGTACAGAATTCCAAGTAGATAGCAGGGCTGTCTGCTGTCTTGGGATGTCCTCAGAAGGCTCTGAGTGAAAACCCCAGAATCCTTTCTTTTAAAGGGAAGAGGAAAAGACAGAGGAACGGAAGAACTATTCAAATGTTGTCTTCTTTCCTTGTGGTTGTGGTCTCTTTCTTCTCCTTGGAAGCCTCCTTTCCCTCCAAAGCCTCTGTCACTGAATCTGCCTCAGCCTCTGCTACTGGCTTCTGCCACTGAATCCACTTGGTCTCCTCTGCTGTGGCCACTTTGTCTTCCAAATCCTCCCTGGCCTCCATCTTGACTCCTGAAGCCACCTTTGCTCTTATGCTTAGCTCAATCTAAGATAATTTTGTTTCTGTCAATTTCACCATCTTCCATGACCTCCTTGACAGCTAGAGGATCTTCCTCACCATTAAAGTCTACAAAACAAACCTTTTGGAGGAGCCACTTTCCCGGTTGGTGACTATCATGGCATGGACACAGCCATCATATGACTCCTTCAAAGTCACTTTAGTAGTATCCTCAGACAGACCTTTGACAAACAGAATTTTGGATGGCTGGCTTCTTGGGTTAGGTGATCCCCTGGATCCTTGCAACTCCAACCTGATTGCTGTGCCCTCAGTTTCTTTTTTACTATAAGAACTTAAAGCTTCTTTAGCTTCTTCAAATGAAGCAAATTCTATAAATGCATATACTGTAGCTTTGCTGTTTTGGTTCCAGGGCACCTTTATAACAGTTGCCTTTTCAAATAATTCCTGAAGAGTTTGTTTTGTTGCATTGTAGGAGAGGTTGCTTAAAACCAGAGTTTTTGATTCACTGCTCCAACTAATTGCCTTCCACCTCTATGGTCTTGATTTTGACTACTCCTTTGTCTCTGTTACCTGCCTTTCCTTGTTCAAGAGCTTTCACAGTGCATTTTTGTTCCTTAGGCCATTTATAAAAATATTAAACAGGGTCTATCCTAGCACATACCTTCAAGGTACTATAGTGTTTGTACTTGCCCACCTAAGTCAAATTGATTCCTGCTGTAGTCTAGCATGGGTCCCAGGAACCCCAATGATTATATGTTTCTATCTAGTGAAGTTCTTATGTATCCCAGTCACTGATGCCTTTATTTAAACTAATTCCTTATTCTTAGCCAAATTGTACCTTTCACTTTTGTGTTAATCCTTTTTCTCTCCTTCCCTCCTTTCTTAACTCTTCCTCTTATACCTTCATCCCTTCTTTTCTCTTCCTCCTTTTCTACCTCCTCTTTCTTCTTCTTCTTTTTTTTTCCTTTAGTACTTTGGATCTGAGTAGGCTTTAACTTCTGACCTCTGCTTATCCCCAGCCAGGACGTCACGGGTGATATTTACTATTTCAACTTTGCCAATGGGCAGTCCATGTGGGACCATCCATGTGATGAACACTATCGTAACCTGGTCATCCAAGAACGAGGAAAGCTGTCAACTGGAGCCATTAAGAAGAAAGATAAGAAAAAAAAAAAGGAAAAGAAAGATAAGAAGGACAAAGAGACCTCCAAAAGTCCCCTGGTGAGTGAATAAATGCCAGTTCCTAGAAGGGCCAAGCTTAGACCTGAGGTGATGTTAGGAACTCTAGGTATTCACTTAGAAGAGGGCCTGGTGATCTCCTTCCAGAACATCAGGCACTGAAACCCTTTGGAGCCAGTTCTGTTCTGACACATGTGGGGTTGCCAACTGGTTTTCTTCTTCTTCTATTTCTTTTTTTTTAGGTGTTTACAACTGGGTTGAGAGATTAAGATAAATAATATAGCAAAATCTTTATGGTACATCGTGTGAATTGTACCTGTCTTCTCGGAAATTTTCCCTTCAGTTTCTAGAAGTTGTTAGTATCTCTGAGCAATTCCTTTTTTTTTCTTTTGTCCTTGCAAAGCACATATTATATAATAAGATAAGAGAAAGGGCAGGAGCTCTGCTAAGAATGGTATTTTGCAATAGTCTAAGAAGTAATGCCATCTGCCCCTCTGAGAGTGGGGGACAAGGAGTAGTTGAGCTGAGGCCAGTGGACCTGGGTGATGAGAGTGTTGTTCTTCATCTTTCCAAGACATATTTTCCTAGTGTGGATTCATTATTTGTCTTCAAGTGCTGTGAATTTCTAGATGTCAGATGTAGCCATAGTTCAGTTGTCAGAACATCAGTGCCTTCAAGATCCAAAACGAAAGCTTTGGGCTTTAGCTACTCCCGTGGATTGTCTTTGCTTCGATTGTCTTGGTTGGTGTTGGAAAATTAAAACTTGATTGTAACATGAACACCTTGGTTCAAGTCATTTTTTTTTTTTAGTGCCTCACAGAAGATAGAATTTTATTTCTCTGTCACATAACAGTGTGTCAAGTCAAGCCAGTGGCACGTGGAGTGTTAACGGCCCCACTTCGCAGAGACCAGATTCCTGTTCTCCTATTGCTCCCCACCCTCTAGAGTATAGTCTGGATCTACATAGTCAGAACTAGTCCAGTGTCATCAAGTTGTTTTTTTATTCAGAGTTCAAAGTGTTTTTTCCCATTATTGCTTTATTTGTCCCTCCAGTGTGTCTGAATTTAGACGGCAGTGCTCTGGCCCTCATTTTATAGGTAGAGAAGCTAAGGCTGGGAGCCATGTTAAAATGAGGCCCAGGCTGTCCGGAACACTGGCAGCATAGGGAAACTCAGGCCTTCTTCTCTTCAGGTGTAGGCAGGAGGGTCACTGAGAGAGAGAATATAACAACACAGTTCAGCCAAGTGGGAATATCTTTTGTACCCTTACAGTGCTCCAATTATTATTACTTTTTTTATTTTAACATTTTTTTTTTTCACTGTGATTTGGGTGAAAATTTACAGAACAAATTCACTTTCCATACAGCAGTTCACGTACACTTTATCTCATGACATTGACCACAATTTACCACAGTGCAACAGCTCCCCTCCCACTTCCTCCTCATAGTTACCTCTTCCCTGTGTCTATCCCTCCATGCACTCCTGCCCCCTGATCTGTCTCCCTGTGCATAAGCATCCCTTCTTTCTCCCATGATTGTTCTCTCCAAGGAGTGTATCTACCTAAGGTAAATGTTCAACTCATATGCCTGTCTTTTGTTTGGCTGGAAACCACAGGTGTGGGTATAATTCCAGACCTGAAGTGTAGCTAGGGGCCATAGTCTCAGTGGTTCCACCAGGCTCTATTGGATCAGCAAACCTTCCCCCCCCTTTTTTTTTTCCTTCAATTGATTTTGAGTTTTGTTCGACATCATTCTCCCTCTCAAGCCAGGATTTCCTACATAGGGGTTCTCCTACATCCCCTTCCAAGTGGATGACAGTGGTAGCCGGGCATCATCTAGTTCTTCTGGTCTCATAGTTGTGTAGGCTGCAGATCGGATGGTGTACCAGTTGGTAGGACTAATTGTTTCCATGAATTTTTGGTTTCCTTCATTCTTCTTGGCTCTGGATGAGGAGACACCCATTGTTGCATCTAGATGGCAGCTTGCTAGCTTTTAAGATCCCAGTTGCTACTTGCCAAAGTAGGAGGTGGAACAATGTATTGTACAGTATGTTATGCCAATTGAGCTTGATGTCCCCTGTGACTATGGTCCCAAGCCCACAGGTTCAACTAGTTGGTCCCTCTGGGTAGCTGGCTGTGACCAAGCAGTGACCAGAACCTTGCCCCTTGTCAGCTCTACTATACACCTGGAAATTCTGATCATTCACATAAACTTATAGGACCATTGTCTGTCAACCCTATACATGTTCTTGGATATACTCCCCACTTCATAAACATACCTAATATGCCTGTCTACCCATCTATCCACCTGTATACCTGTGTTTGGCTTCACTGACAATGCAGTACCTTACAGTGGTCCAATTATTTTTCTCTTTTGTTTGTAGTTTTATTTCCGACCAGAGACTGGTACTTATTTCTCAGTGAAGATATTCTTCATCTTCCTTCCCAAGAAATCGGTTCTGGCTTTGAATGGTTGATGATGAATTTATCCTTTTTATCATTTCCCGGCTCTACAGATACTCACTCTGCTCTTCTCCCTTGCCCCCCACATATTACTCATGGTCCTGAGAAACAAGATAACAAGCCCATTCCTCTAAATAGAGAAAGGAGGGCAGGTGATTTCTAAAGAAGTTGGATTATCTCATAGTATAATGCATTTGAAAGGCAAGAGATGGACAATGGGCTTTTTACTAGCCCAAGATTGTTTTAAATAATAACCAGGTATTTGGACAAGTTGAGTAAAGATGAGCAGAGGGAAGGAAGTGGGGATTCTTGGGTGGAAGGGTAGGTGACAGACTGAGTTCTAGGTGTGTGACTGTGCTCCTGGAGCTCCTTGTTAAAGAGTTCCTTCTGCAGTTTCAGGAGGTGAGGTAATTGGACAACCCTGAGCTGCCAGTCTAGTTCTTAGGGCTGAGAGCAGGCATCTCTTTTGTCCAGGGGTCTGGCCCAAGTTGAGTGGGTGTCCTGAACTCAGGTAGCCTGGGCTCTCTTGTGGTGTTTGAGTTTTTTTCTAGCTCTGAGATTCTGTGACTGTATGGACTTTTCTCAAGCAGGACCAACTCTTGCCTTTGGTAGAAGACTCTAGACTGTGTTTTTAAGGTTCAGGACTCTGGTTATTTTCTCCTTTTCTCTCTCTTCTTTGGATATTTCTGGTAGTCCTTGATAAGATTGGTGGATTTTATAAAATGGACTGATCATAGAACCTGAGTATAGATGGTGCCTTAACAGTAATCTAGTTGGTGATTTTACTTTAGAGATAATCTCATTGGCAATTTCAGACTTTTGTTAGCAGTAAGGTCCTGTGTTCACATCACTTCCTCCATAGAAGTCCAACCCCCACCCCACCCTACCCCACCCCACCCCACCCCAGAAACACCAAACTCACTGCTATAGAGTTGATTCTGATTCATAGCTACCCCCATTGGGTTTCTGAGGCTGTAAATCTTTGTGGAAATAGATTGCCCCATCTTCCTTCTGCAGAGTGACAGGTTGGTTTGAACTGCTGACCTTCTGGTTAGCAGCCAAATGCCTTATTCACTCTGCCACCAGAACTCCATAGATGTCTAGCATATAAAAAAAGAAAGTGGAGTTACTGTGGCTGTTGAGAGTGTGGGTCTTGGCAACTTCCTCCCACACACATGCAATGATAGTGGCCCGTGTGGTACCTGTGGAATGACAGTCCCCTCAGAGTCTGTGGAGTGATATTTGCAAGCCATTGATCTAGTCCAGTCTCCTCTTTAATAAATAAGAAAACAGGCCCAGAATAAAACATATTTTCAGCCTAAGAGAATTTTCCTTCCCTTTTTGGTTACTTTAAAATGGAGGGTGGGTTTCTGTTAAGGGCTGAGGTAGCAAGTATAAATCAGAAATACTTTGCCTTAGTATTTTTCTGCATGTTTATATATCCATCTAGGAAACACAGCCTGAGCAGGGACTTCTGCCTTCCTTTCTCCGTGGCCCATCCCTTCTCCCAGTACCTGGGCTTGCTGGTTTGGACCTAGATCAAGAGATGCAGGCTAGAAGTGAGGGCTCCTTTAAGAAAGGGAAGAGCTCATGTGTGCTGGGCAACAGCCCCTGGCCTCTCGTGAGCACCCTGCCCAGCAAGCTGCAGCCACTGACCAAAGGCCAACCTTCACAAACCCACCAGCTCTTTGCTGACTTGGAGAAAATCTTAGGTAGGGCCCCAGCCCAATGCAGGACAGAATTAGGTGATCAGCAGGGTCTGGAAAAATCCCAGAAGCCAACAGAGAAAATCTACCTGGGGTTTTCAGACCCTGAAATAGAAGAGCTGGAAATGAGGACCAGACAGCAGAAACCCAGTGCTCTAGGCCCTGAGAACATCAGACCTCTCCAGAATGGGCAGGATGTGGTAGAAAGCAGGAGCCAGGCCTCTGTCCACTCACAGCTTTCTGATACCATCAAGGGCCTGCAGCTGAAAGGGGAGCCGCACAGCCACAACACAGCCACACTGAGCACTACAGGCCCCGCTGGGGACAAGGGCCAGAGGCCCATCTCTTTGCCATTGCCTGGGGAGGAGCCGTCCCTGTTCCCTTGTTCATCTGATCACATACTGCCTACCAGGAAGAACAAGCTGTTGTTAGATAGTAGCCCAGTTGAAGACCTAAGTTGGCAGGAAGTGCTTGGGGAAGGTGGCAGCCTAGGCAAGGGGAGGAAGAGGAGAGAGCCCCTAGGATTGTGGATGGGACAGGTCTCCAAGCTTGTCAACAAGGACACCCTAGGGACCAGCAAGAAAACAGAGCCTAGTGACCCTGAGGCTCCACAGGCCTCAGCTGAAGATATGTCTAAGGGGCTCTTTCTGATACCACCTGATACTCTGGCATCAGAAGCAGGTCAGAATGCCCCTTCAGGGAATATACCTCAGGTCTCTCCTGCCAGTGAGAAGAGACAATCTCCAGGTTCATCAGAGCCCCCTGATGAAGGTGGGAAGCCTAGTGGGGCTGGGCCTGACTTGGAGAGCAGAAGCAACAGCAGCCTGTCCTCACACCTTGGCTCTCAGATCCTGGGTGAGGTGAACAACTTCCCTTGGGACTTGCAGAGCTCACGGGCATCTGAGCTGGGAGTGGATCAGTTGGGTCCTGGACCTGGAGCTCAACATACTAGTCCCTTCCTAGCGCCCCACTTGTCCCACATCCAGAGCTCTGCAGATGAGCAGTCAGAAACTGAAGACTACTCTGAGGATCAGAGGTTCTACCAGCACATCCTACGGATGGTCAATATCTCTAGGTGCCTGGAGGGCCTAGAGTTGCCTGAGAGCATGCAAGAAATGCCATGCAAAGACATTGCCAGCATGGTCTGTTGCATGGCAGCTGAGTCTTCCAGAATATCTAGTCAGGGTGAGCATGAGGCCGTCAGAGACCTGGAGAGGGACTCACAGTTTTCAGCTTGGGGGCCAGAGCTGTGTCAGCATCCTCAGGAGATGGCTCTTGCCCCTGCTGGGCAAGAGGCCTCTGAGCAAGCCTGTTTCCAGTCAAGCAGCAGCCCCTTCAGGCAAAGGCTAATTGACCTGAGCTCCAGCAAAGGCCTGGCTGCAGAGTCAGGAGAGATACAGCTTCTTGACCAGGTATGCTTCATAGAGAGCATGGCCTAGAGGCCTCAGTAAACGTGGCAGGAGGGAGCTAACTGAGGTTATAAATTTACCAGGTCTGTATTCCTGTTATTCCCCTTGCTTTGGTAAATATAGATCCCTTAACTACCCAGTATGATTATATTGTGAGATTATGTATATTTCATGTTTCTTCTACCCCATTACCTGTAAGACAGGGGCCAAAGGTATCTGTGACTTTCCTTCCCTGCATTTAAGTGTAATTCCTGGGCAGTTCACTTATGCTTGAAAGGTGATGAGTTTTGAGGGTGAGCAAGATGGTGCTGATCCCAGTACTTCTGCTGGATTTAGGTGCTTTCCTGGAATTTGGGAAGCCTTTTCCATCAGCTCATGATGGAGAGAGGTCCTTTCAAGTAGATAACCTACACCAGGCTCCAAACTCACTCTCTGGCTTGCGTCACCCAGAAAAGGATAGTTAATGCTCTCACGAGGGCCAGAAGCAGAGACTCCTACTCTGCCATCTGGTAAGCTGCTTATGTCCTTGCCTCCCAGGGTCCCTAGGAAGTTGTGAATAACCTGTTTCTGCCTGTGCAGACCTGATTTGTGACTTTACTTCCTTCCCCACTGGGACTCGCCAAAGGGTTGGAGTTGCCCTGTCATTCTGACCCTTTCTCCTTTAAAGAGTCACATCATATTCTTCATTCAGAATATATCAAGTTGAATTAGAAACCATGGAGAAGGATCCATCTGAATTTCCTGGCTATTCCTCTGCTGCCCAGCTGTGGCTTTACCCAGTTGTTAGCTCTGGCTCCTAATTGCTGGCATGCACTGGTTCTCTGCTAGCTCTAATAACTACTGTAGCACTATAAATATCAGATAAGCTGTGGATTATCCTGAAAGTTTTAATTAGCCCAATGGCAGCAAGTTTATCCGCTCTGAAGGACAATGCTACGCACAGCCCCACCCTCAGAGTTAATGGTCATCTATAGAAGATGATCAGCTAGGAGCCAGGAATGTATAATTTCCCTGCTAACCACTGATTTGGTAAAGGCTTGGGAGAACAAAGCCCTCAGCATGCCTGTCTCCCTCCCTCAAGCCCCCAGCATGTTAGCAAATTAGCCATGTTAGGAGTCTGTAATTTTCCATAAATACAGTGTGGGAAGAATTTTGCTTGCTGATACACCAGGGCTAGTTGAAGGGGCCGAAGCTAGGAAGAACAGGCCTAGTTTTCTCACTGTTGACCTCAGACAAGCTTTCCTGGCTCTTTTTCTTCACAACCAGGAAGCAGTGGCTTAGAGGTAGACCTGGTTTCCAACCCATCTCTGTCCCTTGATGGCTTGCTTTTTAACCTTGCACATCTCTGTTTGCTCATATGGGGACTGTGGATAGAAGTTAAGCCTGCCTCAGGTGAGAGTGAGATGAAACATTGCTTGTAAAGTGTTTAGTCCAGAGCATGATGGTTTGGTAATGTTCTCTAATTCTATTATAATCAGCTCCTTTTCCCCTACCAAAGATACTCTACACCAGGCCAGCTGATTGGGAATCTACAAAGGTTCTAGGAGTGATTGTCATCTCACCTCTCAGATGAGCATCTGATGCCCTCCCCATGCAGAAACAGGCCTTGTTGGGAACCACCCAATGATCTGGCCCCTAGGCTGAGTCTGGGTGACCAGAGGGGCCAATTACACTTCCTCAGCCTGACCCCCTCTTCTTCTCTCACGTCTCTGCAGGATTAGAGATGAATAGAATTTTTGCGTCTTTATGTTTGAGGAATGAATTTTTAAGGGCACTTTCTAAATTGTACGCAGAATGCTATCCCTGCCTCTACTTCTGATAAGTCCAAATTATTATAATGTGGACCTCTGTAATAATAACAATTCTGTAACACTGGTGTAGGTCTGGACCACTCATAAAACCATCTTACATTCATTATCTCATATGAGTTTCTCAGTGAACCTTCTTGGGTGACAAGGTACCTATCAATCTCTGTCCTGCAGATGAGCAAACTGGGGAATCTGAGAGTCTGTGAGTAACCCAAGGTCTCACCAATTCAGACTCCCAGCCTGGTTTCTTTCCCCAGTCCTAGCTGACATGAAGCCTTCATTGGCCTTCCTGTGAACAGGGAAAGGAAGGCATTGGTAGTCTCATTACTGCCCTGGCAAGGCTTCTTTCAGCTGCCTTCTCCTCATTAATGTAGAGGGGAAAGAAAGTTCTTTTGATGCTTACGCATGTTTTAAATCAAACTAATACAAGTCCATAGTTTAAAAAGTCATATAGTACCAAAGGGTTTATAACATGATGTAGCTTTTCTCTGGTGTGCATACCCCTCTGCAGAGACTTTGCATGATGGCAGATGAGGGTTTTGTCTCTGCTTCCTCCTCCCCCACACTTCCTATATGTCTTCTGAGAGCAGAGCAGAGTCCTATGCAGCATCTGCCAGATGTAAAAGAACTGTTTACTGTGAGATAGCAGCAGAGTTATGAGAAGCAGGAAACCAGCCTGTGATTTCTCACACGGTTGACATAATGGTAATTCTGGATGTTGTGTTTCATTAGCAGCCTCTGAGCGGAGGTGGTTTAAATTTGAGCGGGCAAGATTTAGATGTTTTATTTTTATATCTGTCCCCAACACTCCCAGAGCCCATGGTTTCTTGGGTTTGTAACGAGATGTTTTCTGTTGCCCAGGCCCCGGGTTCCTCATTAGCCCCAGTCCATGTTCCTCTTGGGGGCCTGGCTCCATTACGAGGCCTTGCGGATGCCCCACCCTCTGCTCTTCGTGGATCTCAAAGTATGAACCTGGGAAACTCAGTGGAGTCCAGTCAGCTTGGAGAACTGGTAAAGACTTTGTCTTGTGTTCAGTGTATTCAATTACTGTGGGGCCTGCTGTGTCCCATGCTCAGAGCCATGGCCTATAGGTAAGAAACACCACAGGCTGAGTGTTCAAAGTTCATCGTCTTATTGGGAAGATTAGTCATACTGTATGATGGTGAACGTGGACCCTGGGCAGTTGAGAGTAGACCTGTGCCATAGAGACTTCCATGCTACTTTCCTAGTCCATGCAGCCAGGCCAGTAGGATTTGGAGAAGAGAAGAATCCATGTGAGTTTCATGGACATAGTGGGACTAGATCTAGAGACATTTAAGTAGAAAGAGAGTGAGGGGAGCAGTCTAAAAGTCTGTCTGAAAATCTTCCTATGAGTCCTTTGACTTGCCTCTCTATTTTGGAGCCTTCACAGGCTGCTTTTACAAAGGGTCTCTTGGAATCCATTCATGAGGATAAGAATGCTCTCAACCTCTTGGCTTTGGGGGAGGAGACCAATGAGGAGGAGGAGAGTGACAACCAGGTAATGATGAAATCCTCTGTGCCATTTTGAAAGTAAGTAAAAATGGTTTGCCAGGCATTATCTTCCCCCCCCCCCCAAGTCTTTATGCCTCCCAGGTCTAGCCCAGGAAGCATGACCAATAAAGGGCCTTTGGCCACCTGCTTGGCACAAAGCATTGTTCATGCTGGATTAAGGGCTGTTTGGTGAGGCTGTGTTTGTTTGTGAAGGTCCTTCCTGAGAGTCTCCTGAAGCACCCCTGGCACCACCTGCCAGCTTAGCAGTATCCTACTTCTCTTCTGCGTGCATGTCGCCCTGGGCCAACGAGTTTCCTTAGATTGACCACTTGTAATTATTTTTTTTTCCAGAGTCTCCGCAGCTCAAGTGAACTTCTTAAGAACCTGCATCTGGACATTGGGGCACTGGGGGGTGACTTTGAATATGAGGTAAGAACCTGAAGCCTCTGCAGGCAAATGCACCATCCTGATGTATCTCTTCTTCCTTTATTAAGCCTTTATACTTTGTGAGGTACATATTTCAAAAGAGAACCGTCTCATCCCAATCCTCCAGTCCTGTCCAGATGGGATTACTGGGATTTGCAGAAGGACAAGAGGGGAAGGGAATTTATTCATTTATAAAATGACCAACTAGGTGCTACTGGGTAATCAGACATACATAAGATATGGCTTGCTGCCCTCTAAGATCCTACAGTCTCATAGAAGAGAGAATGAAGGACTAGAACACAGGGAAGAATGTGATGAGGCCATAAGGAAGGTAGAACCAAGTGCTGTGGGAAGAGAGAACTTGAGGTGATCATGGAAGGCCTTATTGAGAAGCTGACATCTGAGGAGCTGGGAGGGATGATGGGTAGGATTAGAAAAGTAGTTAGAGAAGGGCAGGTGGTGCAGGGTGAGTTGTGGGGAAATAGGGCATCTCCTTCACCTGGAGTGTAGAATCCATGCAGGAGAGGAGAGAGAAGACTGTGGAGGTGGGTTGGGGCTGGATCATGAAGGACTTTGAGTACCAGGCTGAGCAGTTTGGTTTTGATTATACATTACACAGGCATTGGGAGCCATTCAAAGGTTTTGAACAGAGGTATAACATCATTCAGATTCTTAACATTTGTTAAATGCTGGCTCTGTGCCCAGGCACTGTACCAAGATATTTGGAAGATAGAAATATCATTAAACATGGGTCTGCCTGGACTGTCCTCAGGGAGTTTACAGTTGGAGAGAGAGAAAGTACACTAGGTACTTAGTGCTTAGTACATGCTCAGTAAATGTAGAATGAATGAATATTTGGGAAACTATAAAGCAGGACAGTAAGTGTAAACAGCTATAGCACTGCTGTACTGTGTGAGGGAGTTCTGAGGAGGAAGATGTCACTTGACTAGTGACCAGAGAAAAGTTGGTGGAAGAGATGGTGTTTGACTTGGGTCTTGAAGAGTAGGCAAGTTTAAGGCATGGGGGTTGTAAGGGGATGATTCAGGCAAGTGAGCAACTTGAACGAGGCCTGGGAAACACAGAACGTGGATGAGAATGGCTTCCAGAACATCTTCACAAGGATCCTGTAGCTTCTAATCTCTTTTTCCCTAGTCTGTCCTCCACTGCCACCGGGACACGCTCTTTATAAAAAACCCCCAAACTCATCATGTCACAATACCTAGAAACTTCCAGTGTGTTTTTGTACTTAGAAAGGAACATTCTATATGTACTTTGCCTAGAGCCCAATTTGTTAATTTTTAAACAGTTAACATTTCTCCAAATAAAAAAGTGTAAAGTATTTACACAAACAGTGAATCATAAACTCAACAAATTAGATTTCCCAGAGCATTTCAATAATAAGTTAAGGTTAATCAAACTTTTTATAAGTCTGATATATCCAATACTTTAAGCATCTTAAAATCAAACAGATGGCTCATACTTTATTAGAATGTTCACAAAACTGATTTAAATTAGCTTCTTTATCCCTTATTATGTTCTTATTATCCCTTATTATGTTCTTACTGTCTCTGACTCTTATTTCCTGGTCTTCATCTCCCCTTGAGAGCGAGGGTTAATGTCTCAGGCCAGCGGAGGTTGCAGATACTGGGTGATGGGCCCTGGTTTGGGTCTTGAGATTAAAGATGTAGGTGATCTAGATGTAGCCGCTGGCTGGCCCCTTTTTATAATTAGACTTTCTCTCTTACCCCAGAAATAACCCAGATTTTGGCTCTAATCAATCAGATATTTTGATTGTTTTGTAGTTTTAATGTTAGTTGCCATTGAGTTGGCTCTGACTTAAGGCAATCCTGTGTATAACTGAGTGAAACACTGCCTGATCCTGTACCGTCTTCACGATCACTCATGTATTTAAGTCCATTACTGCAGCTGTTATCATGCCTTCCAACCTGGGAGGCCCATCTTACAACACTCCGTTGCATAGTATTCTGTTGTGAGCCATATGATTTTCTTTGGCTAATTTTCGTAAGTAGATTGCCAGGTGTTCTGGTTACCTAGTGCTACTCCAACAAGAATATACCACAAATGGGATGCTTAAACAAACAGGAGTTTATTCTCTTCAGTTCAGGAGGCTGGAAGTCCAAGTTCTAAGTGCCAGGCTCTAGGGGCTATGTGAAAACCCCTCGACCTTGGGTTTCAGCTCTGCCTTTTGCTCCCGGCCCACTGAAGCTAGAGGCATCTCTTCACTCAGGCAGCTACTTGCTTGGATGTGGACAAATAAAATGGCATAGTCTCGATGTTATCAAATCATGTGGCAGGCCATTAACTCAAGTCCATCAACTCAGCTGTGTGAAAGTCCCAACGTCGGCAAAGCATGGCAGGCTGCTGTACAATGACACAGCTACATGCAGGGTTCAAGTGTGCCATAAACTAGAGACCATTCCCAAAGCTGTTTCTTATATACGAGAAGCAGACCACATCTCTAAATCAGCTACTCAGCTGCTTGTGGTAGGTCCCACCATGGAGTTGATTGCCAGTCTCATCATTCAGAATAACAACCACCAGCTGCCCAGCCACTCAACCAGGCCCAAGTTGACACACAAACATAACCATCACAATTCCACCCCTTGTCAACTTGGCGCCTGTCCATATCTTCAATGGGTGGTATCTGTACAGGTCTCCTCTACTGGGTGACTCCAGTCCTCTAGTTCCTGAGTGGTGACCTCACCCCCTTGACTTGGTGGGCCCCATTCCTTTCCCCTTGGGCATGGCAGCCCCACCCCCTCACTCTTGGGCAGCGGCTATGGCTCCATCCCAATGGCTCACATGAACGAGCAGCCCCACACTCCAGAACCAAGTTGGTGAAGGCCGGGCTCTTTGAAAGCTAGGGGGCTGTAATCGTTCCACCTCCAAAGGCCGTGGTCCTACCCTTTCAGGCTGAGGCAGCTCTGCTTCCGTTTCTGTGGTCTCTATGCTTCTGCTGATAAATGCCAATAGCAGCCCACTTCGCTGGAAAACTTCCTGCCCCAAAAGCACTTGGCTTTCTTGTTCCGTGGGCCGGCGAACATGCTACTCCATCTCATGCTGGTCTCTCTTACCAATTAATGCCTGAAGACAACCCACTCCACCAGGAAGCCACCTATCCAGTGGCACCTGGCTTTTTCCTCTGTGGGCTGGTAAGCCTGTTGCTGTTTAATGCTGGTCTCTGGGCTCTGCTACTGCCCTCTCTCATGCTGGTTTCTTGGCTCTGCTCCTGCCGTCTCTTATGCCAGTGTCTTGGCTCTGCTCCTGCTGTCTCTCATGCCATAGGCTGGGGTCTCTCTGCCAGGGTCTTGGGTCAAGGACTCACTCCACTCCTGTTTCCACATTTTAGGCATCTGTCAGAGCAGTACCTCACTCTCTTGGTACCATATTCTGTTCTGGTTACCTAGTGCCGCTCTGACAGGAGTATACCCAAAGTATAGCCAAAATATACCATGAATGGGATGGCTTAAACAAATAGGAGTTTATTCTCTTACAATTTGGGAGGCTAGAAGTCCAAGTTCAAAGTACCAGGCTGTAGGGGCTTTGTGAAAGCCCCTTGACCTTGGGCTTCAGCTGCAGAGCTTGCTGTTGCTCCTGGCCCACTAAGGCTAGAGGCATCTCTTCACTCAGGCAACTACTAGCTACTGAGGCTAACAGGCCCAAGGTCGACAGATAAAATGGCACAGTACTGATGTTACCAAACCACATGGCAGGCCATTAACTCAAGTCCATTGTAAGTCCCAAGGTCGGCAGACCATGGCAGGCTGCTGCACAACAACACAGCTACGTGCAGTGTTCAAGTGTGCCATAAAGTAGAGACCATTCCCAAAGCAGCTTCTTATATATAGGAAGCAGACCACGTCCCAAAGGCAGCTACTCAGCTGCTTGTGGTAGGTCCCACCATGGAGGTGATAGCCAGTCTCATCATGGGGAATAACTACACCAGCTGCCCAGCCACTCAACCAGGCCCAGCCAAGTTGACACACAAACATAACCACCACACCAGGCTTTTTTTCCTAGTCTGTGTCTTAGTCTGGAAGCTCTGCTGAAACATGTCCAGCATGGTGACTCTGCTGGTATTTGAAATACCACCGGCATAGCTTCCAGCATCCCAGCAGCATGCAAGCCACCACAGTATGACAGACCAACAGATGGGTGGTGGTGTAATGTTAATACTTTCTGCCAACTGTGATACTTTTTTTCTGAATGTCTCGTCTTTATCATCAACCTGAGATATGTCTGCTTTGAAACTGTTCCGAGTGGGGCCTGGTCTGGTTGAGTTCAATGCCTTCAGTCTATTTGGTTCCCTGAAATTACAACTTCTTTTTCTTTTCTCATCTGCCTTATAATGCTGATGAGATCAAAGGAACAGCTCAGGTTTGAGCCTAGAAAGATGACCGTGAATAGGAATAGGGGTTCAGGAAGACCTTTTTTTTGGGAAGGAGGACAGTCCCCATGAGACTGAGCAAATTGAGAGTGGAGATTCTGCCGTATTGATATTTGTACATCCAGCCCCTAGCCTAATGCTTGGAACATAGGAAACGCTTAGGGTAAGTTTTGCTGCATAGTTGAGAGAATAAATAAGTGAATGAATGCATGAGTCATACTGGGAAAGAGAAGATATCCAGGCAGGTTGCAATGTACTGTTTTATTCCCTTGGCTTTCCTGGGTTTTGGGTAGAGTGGATACTTGGGTTTCTGCTATCAGCTGGCAGAGTGAAGATCCTAATGAGTATTGATCATGATTACACTTTACTTTGGGCTAGTTAATTTTTACTTAATAATGGATTATGAATGTCCACAAAGAGATATCATGGATTTCCAGAAGCTTTCGTTCTGATGAGTTTGTGCTTCTTTGTGGGAGTGGGAGCTTTTTAACATATCTTTACAACCTCTTTAATATAAATAGGCAACCCAGTGTGATGGGGGAAATGTCTAGAGTGGGAGGTGTTACATACACCTCCCACCCCTGTCTCTAGCATC